GTCGTGAACGACTTTAAAGTCGCGATAAAAGTCGCGATAAAGTCGTTGTGAAATTGTGCGATTTTCTTAGTGAAGTCGTGCAAAAGTCGCGGAAGTCGCGAAGGTCGCGGTAATAGTCGCGATAAAGTCGCGGTAAAGTCGTTAACGACTTTAAAGTCGCGAAAGAGAGCGACTTTTGACGATTTTCGCGACTTTCAAGAAAACACGACTCTATGACGTCAGCTGGTGCCTTGCTGGCGGGAGCCTTTCTGCCGAGGTATCACTGCACAGCTGGCTTAAACATTCTTTGTCTTTCAGGCTCAGATGGTGCGGGCTATGGAGATAGCTAGCTACTAGTACTTGCAGGAGATCGGAGTAGAATAGCAAATGAACTTTTTCTGCATGGATATGCAGAGCTCGCAAACCAGACTGACCTTCTAAAAGAGCACCAAAATGAAGCCACAAGTAGATCATGATAGTCCACCCACACAGTACTGGTAGCTTACAAATCCTCCTCTTCCAATGCCACACGAGAGATACTGGTACGGTCTATCAGTTGGGCCACCGATTACAAGCCACGAGTACAGTACAGTACCGGTAACACCAACATCAGCTGCTTTCTATTCTTCAACACGTAACAAGACTCTGCGTTGGTCAAAAAGTCTAGATTCGTGCTTGTCTAAATATTTGTTATTATGATTCTTTTGTTTGATGTGTTATGCGTTCAAGGCTGTTTGCTGCTTATTCAGCCCATCTCCCATGTGCCCCTAATACCCAAATTGCTCCTTACTGTTGATCCGCAGCACTGGCGCAGTCATCCAGCGACGAGGGCAAGGCCGGGAGCCGTGAGTCCCTGGATGATGAAGGCCAGCTTCGGATTCTCCTTGCATTGGAAACAAACTTGGTAGAGACGACGCTGGAGTCACTCTCTCCGCGGTTCAGGCTACTACGTCGAGGGGTAGGCTTTCTGGGGGGCAGACCCCTCTTTCTCTGGAGATGACTGCGAGTGCGTCTCAATTGATCAGGACTTTGTTCAAAGGGATCCGTACCACCAGACCACCGGCAGTTGCTGCTGCTCGTAGTGTCGTCACTGTCACTGCCGCTGCCATCGCTGCAGCATTCGTCACTCTTGGGAAAGCTGTTCCAACGATTAAGGGATCGGGACTGTCGGCGTTGGTCCAGTGGTGATTTCTTTTGAGACCGACTGCGAAAGTGAAACGCCATGGCAGACGTGGGAGACTGCAACGAGCTGCTGCTTCCTTCACTGTCCCAACGGCACTGCTCTCGTCGTCCACTGTGAGATGAAAGGGAAAGATCAGTGTGGGACAACGTCATGGAACCAGCGGAAGGAAATGGAGCATGGGACTTGGCGTTGTCATTGACAACCTGGATATCCATGGTAGGGAGTCCGAGGTCCTGAAAGAAAGCAAACATGATGGCTGACTTTGATGCTTGGAAACTATGAAATCGTTGGGAGCTTTGGTCTTTCGTTCGCTCTTTTCCGGGGGTATCCTTTTTGTAAATCGGTTGAGAGGCGGGAAGCTCAATCAGGCTCTCATTCGGATGCTCAGTGCAGCGTCGCGTGTGGCCTCCGCTGGCCTCTTCCTTGGCTTTAGGAGAGGAGCTACTACTAGCTACTAGCTAGGCTACTAGGTGCCATGATCGTGCATGCAAAGATCTGAAATTGCCGTGCTGCCGTGCTGAATCGAATCGAACCTCATCCCATCTCGAGCTCAATTCTCCCATAGCCACTTCCTGTACAGTCAGCACTCACTTAAGTTCCGTTTTCTTAAGTTCCATTACTCTACAAAGTTCCTCTTTTTCAGGGCTGCCCCCCTGAGTCACTAGTTCTCATGACTGACAAGTGAATGTGCTTTGTGGCAGTTTGAGACAGTGCTGCCAATTAGAACCCAGCATTCAGATTGTTCATTTATACATATATGAAGTTTCTTCATCTATCTTTCATGACAGGCATCTTAGAGAGCTCGAAACTAGCTAGCCACATAGCATGTTCTACTGGTCCAACACAATACAGACACCATACATAGGAGCAAAGCAGTTCCACCCCAAGACCCCAAGACCGCTTATCTCTCCTTTCCCCCCCAACAACAATAGAATATGACAGGAACCACCCCAAGTGGGTCCTAAGACCACGAACGGGCCGATATGGGGCTCCAAAGATCTAAAGTTCCGTAATTCAGCTAAGTTCCGTTTTTTTCTTAATGCTGGGGGGTGGAACTTTAGTGAGTGTTGACTGTACACTGTACAGTACCAAAGTACCAAACGTTGTTGTTGCGATTTCGGAGACTCGGCGAGGACGACCTTTAAATGGGCTGTGCTACCAGCACTGTACCACCGGAAAAGTGATCAAAATATTACTCAGTCAGACTTATGTAAAATGCTGCTAGATCATGTTTGGGTGAATACCGGTTACAAAATCTACACTAGGCTCGTAGAAAGAATTAGTAACGGGAGATTCATCTTGTTCATTCACAGGTTGACTAAATAATGTTGGTTCAGCCTCAAGGAGCTCTTCAAGTTTGGGAGAGTACAGTCAACATTCAGATATATATACTGGGGGGGATTCAGGAATTCAGTAAATATAACAGCGAGAATAAATATTGATTTTATCCCTAACCCTAACTATTCCCGTAGAATTGTACGTGCTCTAGTACTAAAATAGGGTTAGAGTTAAAAATGTGGGAACTGGAGTATTCTTAAATATTATAGAGCGAATAAATACAAGATTATAAATATAAGCGAGCGTTGACTGTACATGTATGAACATCAAGACTTTCCGGCTACTTGTCTTACAAGAACAGACATACTATCGTACTATCATACTATTATTAATTAGAATCTGATGATGACTCTGGTCGGAACGCTGTGTCTTTTCTAAGGCGACTGCTCCTTTCCATCCTAAACACACGCGTCCTTCGGAAATAACACCTATAAGCAACATTCTGCAGTCAATTTTTTCGGCATTCGACTTTACGATTACAGTACCAAATTTCGACACTAAATTCACTTCGGTACACAATGAAGCCAAGAACCTTCTTCGGGAGCCTGCATATTCCTCCTCTTCCAGAGAGATCATCAAGAAGCAAATAAATAGCTTCACTCCCCAGCCCACCTCTCCCTTGGACCGCGTTTGTTGACTGGGAAAAGATCCAAATGTTCCAACAAGATCCCATCAAAAACAGAAACAAAATTAATATGGCATTCCTTGAATGCTGGATCTCTGAAGCTTTTAATTCGTACGGTGCGGTGCAGTGCGATACGGTGCGGTCCAGTGCGATACGGTACAATATGGTGCGACGGTGCAGTGCGGTACAGTACGGTGCGATGCTCTGGTACAAAAATCGTCAACGAAAATTCTCTGCAAAATACTAAACGACTGTCCAATGATAATTCAGAAGTAATACTAATACAACACTACTAAAAGTGTTCGGGGGAAGTGTTCAGGAGAAG